ATGGCCTGCTACAAAACACCCTTAACTTTAGCTTTAACTACTCATAACGCAAATTAAAACGAACTCGGCAACCTTCCCATCCCCCTCTTTTCTGATTAGCAGGGCAATGCAACCCTTGGAAATTTTTTTTGAAAAAATGCCTGTACAGTGAGAAATCAGAGCCAACTTGCATTTTCGAAAATGAAGGAAAATACTATAACTGTTCTTTACATTTGATAATGTAAGGAAACCCTGGCCTTGAGGAAGAATTATGTTGTAAGTCAAAATATTGGCGTCAATAGTACTCAATAAACCAGCCCTTTTTTCCAGAGTACCAGCCTTACATTAAGTTTCCATATTTATTGAGAACACTTAAGTTGCCACCAAGTGGCTCCAACCCCTCCTTCCCCTGCCATCAATGGTTCTGAAATTTAACAAGCCAGGACAAGAAAGAAATCAAAGCTTTTTGCAAACAAACTCAAAAGGAAGCCATTACCTTGATTAATTAAGTTCGCATCCTGGACCCCACCCTGAATTTGCTGTTTTGAATAATCTCATGTCTACAGGGATTAGTATAAGTAACAAGCATTGCCATTTGCAAGTCTTCCAGCTGTTGCTTCAAAGACTCGAGGAAATAATCAGCTTGTATTAATTGATCCTCCCAGTTTATTCAAAGTTATGTCCCCTGAGTCAGAAAGTCTGCTTTTTCAACCTAGTACATGCGTTGCAAAAAGTTAATCATGAAAGCCTACTGAGTTCATTAAACTTGATTGTAATTGTGTGAACAGTCAGGTTATAGAGCAGTCCCATGTACATTTATTTACCATTTGGAATTTTAACACCATCATATTTTCCCTGCAGGGGAAAATTGTAATTTGGCACATAACTGCCTTACCTGTGAAATCTTGCACTTTCAGCTGTGCACACTTCTGGGATACTCTCTCAGATGTAGTTTTCATTTTTTCTCTCTCTATTCATGAAACTGGAAATATGTTCATTTGGAGACAAACCAGATCCTGTCATCCAGTGTAAGAGAAGAGGAGAAATAGCTAGAAATGAATTGTATCTTTGAGAATCTAAATGCGGGAATCAAGATTCTTGTCTCCATAGATAACTATTTATCATGTTGCCACAAAATTTATCTCAATAAGCTCTCCTGATTTGTACTAACAACTCTGCAACTGAAAGTCACAGTCAAATGTGAGTACTCACCAAATGGTGTTGCCATTGACCCTAACTGTGGACCCTAAGTACCAAAAGTGAACCACTGTAGGGCAGATGCATGGCTATTGCTATAGCTTTGCTTGGATTTCATGATCCTTGACATTTGGTGACCCCTACAATTCTTTCCAGAAACAGATTTTATTGACAATTATCTCCACATTGTCCAAAAATGAACAAAAAAATCAATGTGGGAAGTCAAAAACAAAAACAAAAAAAATTCAAGATTTCTGTCCACAGGACATCGAATCCTGATATCTTGCGGCTGCATGGCATGTGAAACTATGGTCACTAAATGTGAACTCGTTCTTTCAGGAACCTCACCAGTTGACTAAATTCACTTAATAGGTCCACTTAAACAATATTTGGCAGAGANTTGCTTGGATTTCATGATCCTTGACATTTGGTGACCCCTACAATTCTTTCCAGAAACAGATTTTATTGACAATTATCTCCACATTGTCCAAAAATGAACAAAAAAATCAATGTGGGAAGTCAAAAACAAAAACAAAAAAAATTCAAGATTTCTGTCCACAGGACATCGAATCCTGATATCTTGCGGCTGCATGGCATGTGAAACTATGGTCACTAAATGTGAACTCGTTCTTTTAGGAACCTCACCAGTTGACTAAATTCACTTAATAGGTCCACTTAAACAATATTTGGTAGAGAACATTTCACTTCAAAGATCTAATTGCAATATTTTTGGGCTTACAGACACTGTGGCCTTATTTGCTAATGAAGCCCCATTTTTTTCAGATTTAGGGTGTTCTTCTGGACTCGTTCTCTCCAAAATGAAGTCGGCGAACCAGCATTTTTTTTACATTTCTGACAGAAGTAACTCATCATCTTACGGTAGTAAGAGTCTCGGGAAAAAAAAATCAATGTGTGACAATTTTCGCACGAACGTCCTTAAGTCATAAATTAAGGTGCACTGTTCTGTTGCATAGCATCAAACTTGACCCGCTTTTTACCATCAATTGCATCTATCTTAAAAACTAAGGTGATGACCCCATGTTGTTTTGTTTTTTTTTCCCAAAAGACTACTTATTAGCCAGAGAAGAAGAAATAGGAAAAATTATAAAAACATTCTGTGCAGTAGCATTTTCTTAAATAATAATAATAATAATAATAATAATAATAATAATAATAATAATAACAACAACAATGTTTATTAGTGGCTTATAAAAAATTACAACTGAAAAAATTCTTAGGACAATATATATGTCAGGGAAATACTAACTTACAAACGAATTACAAATTACACTTCCGCCATGTTTGATTAAACCTTGTTGTGTTGTACCAGTTTGATTCATTCAATTCCGCGAGACACAACAGACTTTGTTTTGGCACTTTGAAATGTGTTTCTTCACGGAGGAGTTATCATTGTTCAGGTGTTCTCGTTACACGATCGTGGATAAAGCGTGTAGTGCTCCCAATGTAGTATTGGTTGCAGTTGTTACACGTGATTTTGTAAACAGCGTTGCGTAATAAGCACAATTTGCTGCTGGAGATAGGGCAGTTGGCCCTTGGACATGTCCGTTCCGTGTTGTTGTGAGGGAGAGCTCGTCTGAGGATGTATGACTTGTGCGCGACCCGTATTGGTATACCCTCTTTTCGGACAATGTTAGCGATCCTGTAGTTGAGACGTTCGGAGATATATGGATCTTCAGGTACGACCATTCTGTGTTGAGAGGTCGAGNGTTATCATTGTTCAGGTGTTCTCGTTACACGATCGTGGATAAAGCGTGTAGTGCTCCCAATGTAGTATTGGTTGCAGTTGTTACACGTGATTTGGTAAACAGCGTTGCGTAATAAGCACAATTTGCTGCTGGAGATAGGGCAGTTGGCCCTTGGGCATGTCCGTTCCGTGTTGTTGTGAGGGAGAGCTCGTCTGAGGGTGTATGACTTGTGCGCGACCCGTACTGGTATACCCTCTTTTCGGAAAATGTTAGTGATCCTGTAGTTGAGACGTTCGGAGATATATGGATCTTCAGGTACGACCATTCTGTGTTGAGAGGTCGAGGGTCTTTCTGATGGTTCTGGGAGTGCTTCGTCTGGTCTATATTGTCTTCGAGATACCCGTTAAGACGGAGGACGTCGTTAAACCATAGTTCTCTAGTGTTGCCATACTGATGAGCTGCAAAAACCGTTGTATTAACTAGCGATAAAGCCGCCGACCCTAGTATTTTTTCATTGCTTTCCCGCGCGCAACATAACAACACTTCGTTCAGTAGTTGCTAAAGCAGGTCTGGTTTTGGCTTCTCTCAATTTCATAACACAGGCAAATGTTACGACTTGTGGAACAGGAAAGTGACACTTTGATAGAGTCATACGAGACTGTTTTAATAGACATTTTACACGCACTTTTAAGCGCTACTCTTCTAACAATCACTTGGATCCAAAGCATTTAGTCATGGTTAGATAACATCACAGCGATTAATGATTAGCAAATAAGCAGACAAACCGTACAACCTGATAAAGTTGATATATAATTAAAACCTGCAATGCTTACGAAATTTGTTTTTCCTAATACAAACAAGGCACCCCTAGTTTAATCTAACCTAATTAAAAAAATCTCTAAAGCTACAATAATATGGTTGACTCATAAGAATAAAACTTCACCTACAAGGTATTGTACAAAGCTAACAACTACACAGAAAATCATTCTACTGTAGCAATTAACCACTCACGGGAAACCTTCATTGGCTGAATCTGTTTTGTCAGTTTACTCTCTAGATATATTGCTTGATTTTAAAAACACCATATTTGATTTAAGAACATAATATTTTCCAAGCCACTTTACTTTCCAAGACGTTCCACATAGGTGCATGCGATGAGTCAAGTCTTTTGTGTTGAAAAAAATTATTTGTTTGAACATTGTCCCAAAACACATTTCATGAGTAGTCTAGTGTACAAGGGTTCCCGCAATACACGTTTTTCTGTGCGTCACTTTGGTCAGATTGACAACAGAAACACAGCTTAAGTGGTAAGCGTTGGAAAGGGGAAAGGATACTGATCACAAAAACATGAACGGTCAGATTCCGCCTTTCCATCACCTATATTAAATTCAATAAATACATAATAACAAATTCAATTAATGCACTACAGTGTTCTTTAGTATAGCAGACATCAAATATAATCAAGAAAGACATCCAACATGCACCCCCAATTGCTTTCATACGAAAACTTTCCCTCTTCCGTCACGAAATTTAACAAAGCATCTAAGGCCCTACCTACATTTTAAGTTCTGGTTTAAAGCCAAAAATATGTATGTATTGTTTTATTTTGTAATAAGTAGCAGTTAGTAGCAGTCGGTCATTTTTCAATGTTTCAATATCCATATCGTGACATTCCTTGGCAAGTTCATTATAGTTTCGAAACAGATATTTACATCTTTTCAAATTCTCTGCTAGCTTTCCTTGGACGTCATCTGAAGGATCTTGTGCATCAACCTTTATAAGTTCATTCACAGGAATGTACTCAGCACATGCGCCTTGAAATGTGTCACGATTTCCAGCTTTCGCATCAGTGGGTATGAATCCCACTAGATTTTGAAATATAACTTGACAGTTTCGGCAAGGCTCTTTGGGCTTAGTGTAAAGAATTCGTCTCTTCTTGTTTAGATTGTCTTCTTGATTGTCCGAAGGCCCATCGTTTTTGTTACCTCTCATAAATGCAGATGATGACCACTTCTCTCTTTGATCGCCTGGATGCAAAGGCGTATCAAGCACTACTGCTTCTTTAAGTCTACGTTTAAACTTGAAAATTCTGTNATCCAACATGGACCCCCAATTGCTTTCATACGAAAACTTTCCCTCTTCCTTCACGAAATTTAACAAAGCATCTAAGGCCCTACCTACATTTTAAGTTCTGGTATAAAGCCAAAAATATGTATGTATTGTTTTATTTTGTAATAAGCAGCAGTTAGTAGCTGTTGGTCATTTTTCAATGTTTCAATATCCATATCGTAACATTCCTTGACAAGTTCATTATAGTTTTGAAACAGATAGATACATCTTTTCAAATTCTCTGCTAGCTTTCCTTGGACGGCATCTGAAGGATCCTGAGCATCAACCTTTGTAAGTTCATTCACAGGAATGTACTCAGCACATGCGCCTTGAAATGTGTCACGATTTCCAGCTTTCGCATCAGTGGGTATGAATCCCTCTAGATTTTGAAATATAACTTGACAGTTTCGGCAAGGCTCTTTGGGCTCAGTGTAACGAATTCGTCTCTTCTCGTTTAGATTGTCTTTTTGATTGTCCGGAGGCCTATCGTTTTTGTTACCTCGCATAAATGCAGATGATGACCACTTCTCTCCTTGATCGCCTGGATGCAAAGGCGTATCAAGCACTACTGCTTCTTTAAGTCTACGTTTAAACTTTACAATTCTGTTGTGCAAACAAAGGGGCCTTAGGAAAGAACTGGCTGACAATGAACATCCAACAAAAAATTGAGAATTATGTGACACCTTAACCAAAACCTTGGGTTGAAAAATATTTTTGCTACTCAGAGAACTAAAATATGCCTTTGCTTCTTCCATGACGTAATCAGCGTGCTGTTCACTGTATCTTTGAGCTACAAAATGGTGTGCCATGTCACTCAGCTGAAAAGAAAATAAAGAAAAAAATCAGGAAAAAAAATTGTTTTAAGCAGAGAGAGTGCTGTTTGATTAGCTTTGTTCAGAGTGCCCTGAACGTTTTTTGGTAACATTAGAGGTGCTTTCACAGGTTCCATTGTTACTGCATGGTACCTGACCAATTATGTCAAAAAAGATGACTAAACCTTTTCAACCAGTGACTCGACATTCTGTAGTTGGCGGTTGTATATGCGAATTTGATCGCCAGCGAAAATCACGAGCGAATTTCGACGTTCATCGATGCGGGCACACCAAGCAAATTCTTACGCCGATCGCGGTGATTTGCCATACCAATTTTGTTTCCAGACCTCAAGAATCGATGCTCTCCGCCATTTTGGAAAGTCTTGTGATCAAATCGCCTAACCAGATTGGTTGACTTTACCGGTAATTCGCAGCGAAAATCGCGGGAACAGGCACACTAGACGAATGTCCGCGAATTTAATCGCCTTGACTTGTGTGTCACCCCTCTTAAAAGGAGTGGTGATATTGGGCCAAAAAAGTAAAAATGCTCGAAAGTAACCTTAGCCTTATAAGTAGACACCCAAAATGCTAAACTGATGCTGTCACTTGCAAAAGTTGAGAACACAGGGTTATAGTTTCACCTTTTCCTACAATAGTATGTAAGCGACGCCCTGCTGGTTCTATGGATACTGTTTTAATGATAGCTGGCAAACTTGCTATCAGTGTAGGCTAACTAGGGTGGTAAACAAAGAAGACTTAGCAAATACTGCAGATGATGCGGTTAACAAGCTACAAAATTGATCTTTTACACTTATTTCTTTTTATTGTGTGCTAATTAAGCACAAGTATCACAACGCTAAAAGCTTTTCTATCAGCAATGTCTGAGGTGCATACCATGAATATCTAATATGATAGTGACATGAAATGAATTCTCGATTGCATATTGCCTTCATAGTAGTAAGCTGTTTGGTGCAAGTTTATGCAACAGAGCGTTGTTTATCTGTACTTTGACAGAATAAAAAGGGATGAAAGAAGGAATCATTCTATATATTGTTAAATTATGTACTGTAAGGGAAAAAAATAAAGTTCTCGCGACAGGCGTTTTCCGATTGCAAGTTTGGATGCTCTACCAGCTCCAGGAGACTCGTAGGAGCATGGGCATTAAACTAGCTTCATATGAAAAATGTCCTGCATATTGCTGGAACCTGAAAGCTGAAGGGTGATGTAATTGCAATGTGATGCGACGTGTGATGATAAAATTTAAGTGTAGTGTAATTATTCTGCATAGTCATACGTACACTTGAAAAAAACACTTGCGACTTCTCCCAACAGTAGTTGAAGTCATGACCACTGCAATTACTAATCCAGATGCTCTTACGTAACCACTGAACTACAGGAGACTTGTGGGCTATTAAACTTAGGTTCACATGACAAACGTGCTGCATACTAAAAATTGAAGAGTGGTGTATTCGCAATGAGAGTGAAGTGTTAAATTTTAAAGGTCCAGTTTCAACATTGATCTGAAGCCCTCATTTGTTTTTGTTTTGAAATCGTATTGTTTAGTGATGTTTCCAAACTGTCCACTATTTTGATCACACGTCTCTCAAACACATCATTGCAGGGAAATTCACCATGCCGAGTTCTTGTAGGTGACTGTTTGAAGAGCTAAAAGACTACAAATCTTAATTGCGCAATTCTTCATGCACAGAAGCAGAACAGTCTGTTGACTGGTTGACCAAGGGATTTTTTAAACTTTGCAAAAAGTTGTATCTTATTTCGTTAATTATTTCCTGAGGGTACAAAATGAGGGTCACCAAGCTTGTTTGGGAGTTATCGTCCCTTAGAGCTAACCTTAGGGGTGTTTCTAACAGGTTGGGGACCCATTATGTCAAAACAAGTTCATAACTTTTTCACCAATGACTGGGCATTTCTTTGATACCCCTATTAACGAAACAACGTACAAAAGCTTGTGGTAGTGATCCATGGAATTACAAGAGGTGGTACTCTGCAAATTCTAACTTCTTTGCTTGACTTGAATTTTTAACACAAATATATGCTGTATAATCTTGTATATTTGCAGTAAAAAAGGCATCAATGCTTTTGTTTGGATCATGAAATTATAAGAGGTAGAAAGTGATGGGTAAGAATCGACCGCTCAAATTTCCCTGGAAAATAGATTGCCTTTATTTTCTCTACACAAGTCAAGCAACACATGCAATGAACGAAAATGGCCTTTATTTTGGCAAAAACGCTTTCTTTAGTTTTTGAGGAATTATTTTGTAGGCACATCGGAAACCACACAAAAATCGAAAATTGGAACCGCAAATTTTGGGGGTCACGTTATACTTGCTTAAAATTCGCGCATTTAATGAAACATTCTAACTCTTTCAGAACTACTGCATAATTCTTTCCTCTTTCCACACAACTAAAAACTATTTGCTTATCTTAAACTCTTAAACATAAGTAAAGTTATGACGTTTTTTCCTTATGCTCTAAAAGATGTCTTTGTCATGTTTACTGACCTCTACATGAATGATGACTGTTATCGGCATCATATACTACGCTCAAGCTACAAATACCTGTATTGAAAGGTGTGGGCACTCTTTATTTTGAAACCCAAAAAATTAGAGCAAATAGCTGAAAATTCAGCATAATATACCCGTAGAACGCATAACTGCGATGATCAATCATGTCTTTATATCTTTATCCTCAGTTCAAATATATGATCTTTCATATATTCACTTGTATTCTTCACCAACTACGGGGATATTATGAACTGAACAACGTGACCAGCTTTCAGTTGGCTTGATAGCTCCAAGGCTGCTGCCTAATGGGCGCCCGGTCACCTGAGGCGCCTGAGTTACGAGTGTGGGCGACTAAAGTTTTGTTCAAAGAGCCCGAGTGGGCACCTAAACATTGACTTTTCATTCCCATCTAATCTGTCCGATGACTTCAATCTTCTCATGAAATCAGTCAAAAAATAATTCACACAATAAATTAAAGGAAAAACAACAGCTACTCTGGTCCTGTTTTGCTTTTATCTCGAGAAATATGGGCCGAAACACGGCAACAAAGTCTCTCCCTGCTCACAAAACAGCCGAAAACAGCCATACTGTAAATCCTCGAATTAGCGCCCCTCTCCCCTTCCCCCATTTTGTGGATGAGTAATGAGACAACAAAGGATGTATAGTTTCTGTCGTGTAGTATTAGATTTGTACATT